CAACAGGTTACTGGTTCAAATCCGGGGAGCAGAGTAAGCTCCCGTCTGTCGAGCTCTAGCTTCTCATGCAGGAACATGAGAGAAGCCTCTCCCACAAGATGGTAAAACATCAATGATCCGGGCATCCCCTGGGCAATGTCCTTGCAGGCGGCCAATTCTCTCACGCCAGAAGTGACTTGCAGTTTCTCAAGTTGCTTCTGACACACATAAAAAATGACCAGGTTTCAAAGGGAAATATAACATCATTTAAGTCTAGATGTTCTGTAGAAGAAGTACTGCATAAACCTCTGGCTATGTTATGTGTGTTGCAAAAAATAAAGCAGAGGGTCTAAAAATACACATTTAAATATGAAGCAAATAAATGTCTTGAATGATTTGCCATGGCCTTGGCTTCTTCTCTTCTAAATCATTGTTGTAATTATTTCTTGGCCACTTCAATTCACAGTAGAATGCAGCTTGGCCAATCTGCGCATATTTCCCCCCTTTCTGAGTGAATACTCATTGTTTAAAGTTCAATATTATGATTAAAATCCTGACTGCACATTGCTATTTTGGATGAAAGGGACTCACAGTATGAGTTGGCTTTTGGACTCTTTAAGAACAGAGAACACTTAAGGGTTTCATAGCCCCCCACTAGCCACATCCCGCAGTTCCTTCAACCTACTCTTCTTTAGAATATAAAGGAACAGTAATTATTGGTTCCAAATGTTCTATACATCAAAGAACATTACAGTCCAATCTCAATGTGGGATGGTAAGCTTTGTGGAAGTAGAAGTGAGAGGAACTGTGATTGCAATAACTTTAATAATTGAATCTTAGGCTGGGTAAATGGAACAGTCTTATTTGAATTGTCAATTGGAGACCAGGAAAAACCGAGAAAGACTTAAGCATGTACCCATTTGAAAAATATAAATTATACAGCCAAACAAAAATGCATGTTTTCAAGATTGTCCAAGGGAGACCTGGGAACTGTCTTTTTCAATGTATGAAAAGGGACCCAGAATGTTATGATTCATTTTGAAATCCAGGCAGTAAATGAATAATAAACAGAATGCACACAAAGAAACCCTACACACATTGAAGACTGCTGTTTGAGCCGTTGTTGTTCAAGCAGTTCGGGGGAGGCAGCAATTTCATTTTTAAAAACCCTTTTCAAGATTTTGCTGCCAGAAAATAACAACTGGCTATCAACTCTAATAAGCCATGGTGTTCTGTAGGAGAGAAAAAGGCGTAATTTGGCCTTGTGCAGTCCAGCACATTGCCCTGATTATTGATGTGTCCTAGTGGGGACCACAACTTCTGGAAGAGGAATTGATGTCTCTCTACATCGTGAGGAATGGGAATAGCCCAGGGTTTTAAATACAATTTGTTAGCTGTAGAATCCACATTTATTATACTTTCTTTAAGGGAATTTTAATATCAGATCAAATGCTCTGTGGCAGATATTATCATGAGTTCCTGGGGAAAACCATTCTGATCTGCATAAAACACTATATGAGCAAAGTCTCTTGAATGTATTTAATTGCCAAATGCTGTGTGCTCTTATGCTACCACCATTATAAAAGATAGTAGACATAATGCATAAACTAATGTTAGAGTAGATAATATTCTTCTAGTTTGGCCTGCCTAATAGATCCTGGTTTGGCATGGCCACAGCTGCATTTTGTATTATTTATGTAATATGTTTTTATTAAATCTCAGCCCACCAGGGCTTCAGTTTGATGGACAGGTTTCTCATCTGTAGATTCAATCAATTGCAGATCCAAAAAGGGTATTAAATAAAAATATGCTCAAGATCTTATGCACAGATGTGCAAATCAGGTGCATTTAAATCCCAGATATCCTTGCTTCTTATAAAGTCAACTGTCATTTAGCATAGCAAGTTAATCACCAGCTGCAGTAAATCTTGACAACCAAAAGGTTGACAGTTCAAAGCCAGGTCAGGGTGAGCTCCTGACCTTCAGCCCAGCTCTCCCGCCCTGTGATTTTTATTTTGGTCCCATTAGATTATATCCCCACTTGGTGTACAAACACATATGTTTACAGTTGTACTAGACTAACAAAAGCTTTATATTACAAGTTCAGTATTGTGTATGTTCTCTGACCATATAGTGTATCATTAGAATGTATTTTATATCGCATAGTATTTTCTATCCTTAATGATAGTGACTCTCAGGGATTCAGGCCAGTCTTTCCTACTTCAACTACTTCAGAACTTTTGGTAAGACTGTGAGAGTGTCCAGCATCCTCCATAGGCAGGGGGGTATCATAAGCATGCTCATCCATTCCATCAGTTGCTTATGACAAACAAGACTCAGACAGCTGTTTGGAATACTCCCAGTAACTCCTTTATTTCAGACAAGCCGAAACTCAAATCCAACAGAGTCCCCTGTTCCTCTCCCACTCTCCCTCTTATCTCCACTCTTTCACTTCCCCCTCCCTCCTTCCAATTACTCCACATGTGTCTCGGTATTTACTTTGTCCTTGGATCTTGCTGGTGTTTGAAAGGAACAGCTTCTTTCCAACTCCAGGGCGGGACCCTCCACTGTCTCCCCTCTACAAGGACATACTAGAAACTAATAGGAATTATCTTTAAGAACCTTTTCTTTCTGGTATGGACAATGAAGGTTTGTATCTTCATTTGGTTCAAAAAAGTGAAGTGATATTGGTATTCCTGCTGCTGACACCATCCCTGACTGGGCCATTGTGATGCTTTGGATTCCTTGGCAATGAAGGTTTTCACTGGCCATGGGGTAAGACATAACCTTCATTTTATCATTACCTCAGCAAGTAGTGAACATGATCAGGCAGTTTCTGGATGAATTTTGGTTTTACAGCATTTTCTTTGGCAGTATGAGGACCCATTCAGAAATCCATCAAATATAAAATCTGCCCCAGTGAAAAAGCTGGTCCCTTCACTGTAGAGTTAGTATAAATGAACTCATCCGGCAAATTTTAGTTATCCTAACACAGTCCCACTGGGGACATAAGCTATTGGCACAATTACAACTGAATGCCCTTCCGCAACTGTAGAATTTTAGTTTCTCTCTCTTACACAGAAAGCTCAGAGTAATAAAATGGAGGAAAGCCAAGAGTGCCAGAAGCATTAGACTCAGTATGAAGCTTACCGCACATGCAGTAAAACACTACTTGATGGTTGAGACTATGGAGAAGACACAGTCCAGTAGAGCTTTGCTTGAAGTACATAGGTTATAAACATTCATCCTGGCAACTGCCCTGCTGTCAATGCAGGACTTCTGTAACCATTTGGAAAACTTTTTGAGGATAAATCATCTGGCTTCTGAATAAGTTAATGCCGCTGTTGAAACTTATCCAAATCAGATGTTTAATTGTTTTGCCCAGTTTTGTGGAATCAGTTTTAGCTTCTGTGGCTTATTATTACATGGTATTACAATAAAACTGGTGTGCATTATCAACTTAAGAATCTTTCCTAATAATAAAAGGAGTGGGCAACAGGGGCCACCTTTTCTGGGAGCAGAACCGGACAACCTGCAACTTGCAGTGTATGGAGACCATATAATGCCCCTGCTACAACAGCTCCATTGGCTGTCAGCCTATTCCCAAGCACAATTTAAAGTGCTAAGTTAGGATCTATTCATTCCTTTCCTTTCCCAGAACACTCTCCTCCTTAGTATCCTGTCAGCAGGCAAAGCCCTTTTCTCTATTTCAAAAGACTTAGAAATGAAGGCTTTTAAACAGAGGAATTTTAAAATGGTGCTGTGCTGTTTTAGCTTTTTTAATTATATATTTCAGTGTTAATACCCATATTTCACAGAATGCCATRGATTCCAAGATGCCMCTCCCCCCCCCCCCTATTTTTGAGCTCAGTTTAAGAAAAAACTGACGGTTCCAGTCCTATCCAAATGTATCTCCCTTTATGAATCAGTTCAAGCACTAAGATCAGCCAGAGAGGTCCTGCTCTCGTCCCGCTGCCTTCGCAGGTGCAATTTGTGGGGAGGAGAGACGGGGCCTTCTCAGGGATGGCCCCTCGGCTGTGAAACTACCTCCCCAGTGAGATTAGATCAGCCCCTTCCATCCTGTTGTTCAGAAAGAAACATAAAACCTAGCTATTCAAGCAAGCGTTCAGCAAGAGTAGTATTTCTGAAGTAGCTAAATGATAACCATGGGACTAGTGCAATGTTTAATATGTTTTATGTTCATGTTATGATGTCACTTTGTATAGTTTTTAATGGTTTATAATTCATATTTATATGTCATTGATTTAGTTGTGTTATGTATTGCTTTTATATGTATGTTCGGCATTGAATTTTTGCCATGTTGTACACCACTCTGAGTCCCCCCAGTGAGAAGAGTGGTATAGAAATGCAATAAATAAATAAATAAATAAATAAATAAATAAATAAATAGGGAACTTTCAGTTTCAAGATGCACCCCCTTTTTTGGAATTTTAATTTTAGAAAAACAGTTTTCTTTAAAAGAAATCATAGATTTTGGAATCTTATTTATATGAGAGATGGTGCTAAGGCAAGCTGAGAGAATGGAGAAAGCCATCTTAGAGACTGCTGGTGAGGAAGGTAGAAAGCCAGAGAAGCTTCTTTAAAAATGACAATTAGACATGCCTTTTGCCGTGAATTCCAGCTGCCATTCTGTGAAGGGTATTTTTCCTGACCCTTTTCCTGACTTCTTTGGCTCCTGAGACAAAACCAAATGCCTTGGCCAGTTATCAGAGGAAGAAACTGAGTCTTCATGAAAAAAAAAAAACCTGAGCTTTTTCTTTCCTGGAAAAATGCCACCATCAATCTAAAATATCCCAGAACCGGTGGTGATTTCTTCCCTGGGAGGAGATGTCTACTGGATATGTTGTATGTTTGTGCCCATAGTATACTTCTTTTTAATTTTTATCTCTTGAAGAAGAGATGGTTGAAGCACTTGTATAATCTTGGCAAGCCTTTTAAGACAACTCTGTTCTTCATTATCTCCTGCATCACACCAATCTTCCCTTTCATTGTATTTCTTAGGAATATGACTGGAGAAACTACCAGCCAAGCAATATGAGTGCCTCTGAACTTCAAATGTTGGCTAGTATGAAAAGGCAACAAAATGAAGAGCTGGAAGATAATCGACTTTCACATGGTTTGAGTGCCTCTCAAATCGGCAATTGTAATATCAGCATCAGCACAAGCAGTGACGATACAACAACCTGGAACTCATGTCTCCCAGCGGTGAGCTTTGCTTCAGACATTGTCAGAGGGTTTCCTAGGGAAATTCCAGTTATTCTGAGCTCATGTAGAGAACTTGTGTGATCTTTAAACAAGTGTTTCTAAACTGTTACAGGAATTGGAAAAATACAAATCTCAAAGTGGCCTGTATGCTTCCTGCATAACTTGTCTATCCATCAGGTCCAATGTTATTTGTTCTTTAGAGGAGCTGTGGCTGACTGCAGTGGTATATTTGCTTTGCTTTCAGCAAATGCTGTTTGGCAGGATCTGTATATGAATGCAATGCAGAGAAAGCGTTTCTGAAAAACCCAACACATCCAGGCATGACTCCCTTTGTTCCTACATTCAAAGATAGGCATTTACCCTACCTAGGCAGGCTATTCAGGTTGCTGTTTTTCAACTTCTAACAAATCTCTTGCAATGGCTGTGGAATGGCAAAGAACTTGCGCTCTTAGGTTTTTCTGAAATCTGCTCAAAACAACAGTTTGACTAACATGAAGGAAAATGACCTGAAGATAAAAACTGCATTCCGTGAGCTGTATCAAAATGCCCTCAGCAGTTGTCATTGTTAGAAGTAACAGAGATCACATTGCTTTGTATCATCCCATCAAATACTGAGTTCTTTAATGTTGATATTTTAAAGATACATAGGGGAGACAGATCCCAAAGCTATTGTATATTTTGATCACAGTTAAGCCAGCTATGGAGTTGTTTTGGTTTGGTTTCATTGCCTCCCAGCACTGAAGATGGACATGTCCAAATAACAGGTCAAAGTTAATGTCAGAATGAAATAAGTATTTTTGGTACATTAAGATGTACAAAATGAATAACATATTTATCAAAAAATCCTCCCATGTTCAGCAGGTCTCATAGCAGCACAAACCTTAGAAAAGTATAAGTTCAAGACCCCAAAAGTAGTTACTGTTGTACTTATCCAAGAATAATGCACAGAAATATTTTAATGCTTAAAAATGCACTTAAAGTGCCACTTATCCATGCTTTAACAAAATATATAGTGCTCTTATGTGTTTGAAAAAGCAATAGTTTAAAGAACCTGTTATTGAGTAAAATGCAGAGGATTGTAAACACTCACATGCACACACACACAAACTCAAAACAGTTTTTGGCATTTCTGTAAATTACATTCAAAAACTAAATTATTCACAAAAAAGGCATGCCAAGAGAACATTTATTAAACAATCCTTTTCCATGTACTCAGATGAAACAGTGAAATGCAGCACCATACAAAAATACAACTCGTTGTTTTCCAGAATAAACATGGACAAGAGATTCTGAGAGTATCCAAAATCCATCCCTTTGCATATAGTTGTAGCTGTGATGACAATCCACATGGCAATATAAGAATGTTCCTTCACAAGCACAGTCTTTGTCTGAATCTCAACCATAACAGGACAGAAATGACTCAAATTAATAAGAGCATGAACACAAAGGACAGTATGGTGACATCTTTAGTTGCAGCAGTAAACCACATTACTCATGGAAGAAAAATAAATCAAATGATTTATGGATTACAGATCTACCCCTGCCATGTAATCATAGTGATAGCATGGCAATAATTATGTTTATCTACACAGCAGTTGTGCAACATGATTTTGCATGTGTTAATATTTCAGCTCCCCATCCACAAAAAGAACATGCCACTGCTTCAGCATCCATAATAGGAAACACCTCACCTCAAACTTTCTTCATCAGTTTCTCAGTTCACTTCCACTGTCCACTCCTCCTACTTGATTTTTGCTCTTTTTCTTCTGCCTTTCCTTCTACTCATTCAACTCTCACAACACAGCATGATGCAGCAGCATCATGAATCACATTGTAACCATGTAACTACTTAGTGAGTCAATGACCCCATAACTGAAGAAGTAATTAAAATGTTGTTGTCGAAAGCTTTAAAATGTTAATTAAAACGTTTCACTTGAAAAATGACTTGCTAGCCCTGCTCCTAGTATCCACATCCTTGGACTATGGACTATTTGCTCATTTAACCCACTACTGTGGCTGTCAGTCTCCAGTGTCTTTGATGAAGGGTCTTTATAGTATATAGTCCTTTTGAGCCAAGATGACATAAATTAAATTGAAAAGTCAAAAAGTGAGTGGAATGTGGATTAAGAGGTTGATGAGAAAAGCTGGAAGTGAAATGATCACCACTGTGGCCCTGAGACAAAATCAAGCTATACCAGGCAGGCGTTCTACTATCAAGCTTCGGTGCTTCCTCCATTAAGGATTGCAATCTTAATGTACATTCACTTCATAGGCAAATAAACTGAGTACCATCGCTCCTGACAAAAACAACCCCACAAATGTTGCTCAGATAACACTATATAACAAGATTTGGAGAGAAAAAATATGTCCCAGGTTTGAAAGTGTCATTTCCTGTTTAATTGTGCAGTACTTACTTTGAAAGTAGTTGTTATACTCCAGAAACTTGTTTTTGTGGCTGTCACAAACTGTGTTGAATTGTTGAGTCTCTAAGGACCTCTTCACACAAGGCTAAAATCGACAGCATGCACCAATTTAGCCCAGGTCACCCATGGAACCTTCAGACTCCCATAGGATGATGCCGACGTTGCTCCGTGGGTGAAGGTGGGCGGAACCAGTGCATATTGCCACTGTGGCAACATGGTAGGCTCCCCGTGTTACCATTACAAGCAATGGGGGTAGGCCATGTGCTCTACGCACACTGCACACTTCCCCATATGAGATCAGCTAGGAGAGGAGTCCGGCAATGCAGGGTGTGGGGCACTGGGTTCTCTATTCCCCCTGACAGTGCGGTATGTTCTCAGCAGCCATGTGACAAGGTTGTATGAGATATTCATTGAAAAACTATAGCAAAATGTGTTGCATAATATCCTGGAAAAACAAAGTTTTTGCAGTTTAATAAACCTTTTCCATGTTTTTATCATAGAATCAATTAGGAAAGACATTTATAACCCAAGAACCACAAAAATGTGTTACATAATGTAATGGATGGATGGCACTAAGGCTGAAATACAGAATTCTATTTATTTGGGAGGAGTACTCACCCTATTTTTGTTGATTTAAAATGTCTTAATGTTCTGTATAATAAACATACTTACACTATAGTACAAAAGTGGAAACATACTTTTTAATGGCCAGCAGAAATAGTTCCTGCCTTTTTACTCGATTATCATGATAACTAAATAATGGTAAACAAGGCGTACTCATTTATCATGATAACTAAATAATGCTCTGCTCCTTATAATACTGATTGTACTTTCCTTTATGGAAGTTACTGGAATCACTTAAGCACCCAGCATAGCTGCTTTTCTGAAACTTGCATAATCAGCATTTATTTTAATATCTACTCTTACTTCCTTTAAAAACAAATTAGAAATCTGATTACTTACAAAATAGAGTAAGGAGACCACAAACGTGTATACGTCTTCTCACCACCAATCCTCTCCTTTTATCTCCTCTTTTTTTTTTTTTTGTATCTCTTCTTCTTCCCTTGTCACATCCTTCCCTCTTTTAGACCCCACAAGCCTGGTACCCCCTCCCTCCTTCTCCCCTCCCTCACCTTTTATTTTTTGTTTGTTTTTAATGCATCACTGTTAAAACTTCAATTAAAAAAATTAAAAAAAACAAAATCATCATCTATAACACCTGTTTTGTTTCTGGTTTTTTTTTTTTTTTGTAGAAAACTTTCATCAGACATTGGACCATAAATACTGCCTTATAGTCATGGGCCCAAAATTTGTTTCATCCATTTGATTCGTGTTTCTGTTTCATTCCATCGATTCAGATGGCACAGAATGGGAAGGCCCCTCCTGAAACGAAAATAAACCTGATACTAAAGGCAGGCGGGAGCGGATACAGGCTTTTCAGATTGATTGCCATGCGTGTAGGTCCAAAGCGCCAGGGTCTGGTGGGGCCTTCAGCTGAGTGCCAAGAAAGGAGGGCTCTTTACTCGGCTCTCAGCTGCAAGCCCTGCCAGGCCCAGGCACATAGACGCAAAGCCTGTACCCGTAGGCCAAAAGTGCCAGGATGCCTGCAGCCGAGCACTGAGTAAGGAGCGCTCCTGATTTGGCACTCGGCTGCAGGCCCTGCCAGGCAGCAGCATGTAGATCCAAAGCGTGCACCCATACACCCGGGCTCTTTGGGCCTACGGGTGAAGTCGTCCCATTCCACCAATAATGGACCAAAACAAAACAGATCTTTCGGCACCGAAAACGAAAAACAAATATCTGCCCTCCTGAATTTGGGTGGCATAGTCGAAATGGATCAGGGTCTCCATTGAAAGCCGGACACAAAGAGGATCAAGGGTTAAATGCACATGACTGCTGCCTTACTGCTCTCCTCTTATCACTAAATTGTTTGATTTTTATGCTATGATCCTTAGAACATCACACAGAACTTAAGTCTTGCTTTACCCACCAAAATATGCACCCAAAGAAATGGCTCAAAAGCTGCTGTCTTTATTACAATACATGTTCTGCAGTATTTAACTTGTAAAACACTCCATTTAAACATGCCTTACAAGAAATCCTTTTAACTCCTTATTGAACATTCAACTTTGTTTTTCTTCAGTCTCTCAGTGAAATCACTTGTATGTAAAATGTACAGTTGTACACATTACCATTTTTTTAGTTATATGCTGCCACTCTTCTTCCGTGTTGAGTACATGCCCTTCCTGCCTACTTTATTCTCACAGTAATAATAATCCTGTCTAACCAAAAACGTTAGTGGTTCAAGCATGGGACTATGACCAAGATTCAAATCCCCACTTACCATGGAAACCCACTGTTCTCTCAGCCTAGAGGAAGGCAAAACTGGCAGTCATGTCTCTCTCTTCTTTTCTCTTGTTTTCTTTTCTCTAAGCTAAACATCAGCCTTTCCTCAGAGGGCTTGGTCTCCAATCTTTGATCATTTTGGTCTCCTGGACACTTTGCAGCTTGTCCATATCCTTCTTGAATTGTGGTGCCCAGAACTGAGCACAGTACCATTTCAGATGATGTCAGAAT